CTACAGAAGCAAGTGCACGTGGATTGACGAATAAATAGATAGATGCACGTAGAAACACACGGCTAGATGCCAAATGCCAGATACCTGAGCCAACAGCGTCGAAGGGGTCCATCGAACGTCTGCGAAAGCTCCCGGAAAACGACATAAATATTAAATGCTATCTGTTTTCCGAGACGCAGCAGTATCGTGAACTTTAGTCGCAGAAACATGTTTCCAAAGGTCGAAGCCTCCTGGAGAGAAAACTCGTGTGCTCTTTTCACCGTGGGTAATTTTAAACTTTTTCCACCTGCAGTAGACATTTCTTTCATTTACATTTAATCGCGTCACGTCGCTGCAGCGTTGAGAGTGAAAATTCTCCAATTATTTCGGGTATCAATATGCTAAACTGCATATTAAATTAAGTGAAGCAAGCTTGTGGTTTACGATATTATTTTTACGTAATATGAAACGCATTTTCTGGAAAACCACCAGTTTCCATTAAAAAAGCAATTTTTAAATCTTCTCGAAATGTGATTGTGCGACCATTTAAATTGCTCACTCAATCTGTACCCATTAATTTTGAAAAGATTGGATTTCATTACACGGCTATGAAATTCTTTTTCACAAATTTTCACTGAAGCATCACTGAAGAGATCTTTTCTCTTCCATTAAATAATCTCGTTTTAAATCTTCTTAAAACACGTTCACGTACCTACGTAAAATATTCCAAATATTATTCCATTATCTTTGGTTTGTTAATTACGATATTCAATCGATCGAATATCAGAAATCTTTTTTCACCAAACACATGGTTGCGTGGTGTTCGCTCGAACGTTTCACCTACGACCCAAAGCGCGCTGTAATTTTCTATAATTCAAGAAACGCTCGTCGAGAGGTGAATTTTTTAACAATTTGCGAGCACCCTCGGTTTATGCTGGATAGTCTGTTCCCGCCTCATTAACTGTGAATCAGTAGAACGTAACACGGCCCGAAAAAAAACCGTCGGGGGCACTGAAAAAGGCGGAGGGTCGGATGGCGAGGGTCAGGAAAGGGAGAGAAAATTTCGGGACACGAAGTTATCAGGTAGAGACGCGGAGGGGGTAATAGTCTGTAAAGGTGAGGGAGGAGGGGGCACGGAGATTGTAAAATCGATGAGGTTCTTTCACGCCCGCTGCGAGACCAGGCTCATCGGGAATCTGACGTTTTCTGTTTTGCTCGATGTCTGACACCGCGCCACCGACGATCGGAGGGCTGTTCTTTCGTTGGCTGAGCTTAAAACAGGACAAATTCACCTTACTTGCCCCCGTCGCTGCGGACGGATGGCGGCTGGGAAAGCCATTTCACCCTTTAAAGCGAGCTGTCTGCAGTCGGTATATACCCCAACGTTCGAAGATGCTCCAGGCGCCTTCGGAACTCTTCGACTAGAACAGTGGTCGCCAACCCGTCGCCCTCGAGCTCCCCGGTTATTCCTTCCAATCGATTTACCCGATCGTGTTAACTGAAACGGACAGAAAGAATAATTAAGTACACCGTCCGACTTATTTCGTTTTAATAGACTCTGAGCATCGATCGTTTGCCCGGCTGCGTTGAATAACACTTTCGAGGGGATGAAATCCACCCTTAAGATGTGCCAGTTATATTTTAAAAAATTAAAAAACGTTCGCGTTATTAATCTAGAGAGGATTGATGTTAAAAAAATTCCCTTCTTTCGTCTCATTTGTGATTCACTAAGTTTTCAAATTTCAACAAGTAGCACGTCGTTTCTCCAGGTTGAAGACCACTGGACTAGAACTCGCGCCCCCTATTTTAACCCCCACCCACGCGCCAACAATCGTGCACCCATCGTACTCGTTCGAGACGCGGAAGTTTTCGTATCTTCGTCGAGCCTCTTGTTTTGCCGCTTTCCAGTCGTCTAGCGTTGTTGTCGTCGGTAGAATTTTTTGAAAGCATCGGGGTGATTCAGGGTAATGGTTCGCCACTGGCGAATTTATCGGTAGTCGTAGGAGTGCTTTATGATTTGTTCCTGCGGAGATTTAGGAAGCTGTTCTCTCGTGAAGCAGCGTTTCAGCGTATATTCGAGTACGTTCGCTAATTACCTTGTTTAGGATAGTTAGATAACCATCTGTTTCAGTCAGATCGTTAATATCTCTAAAGCTGCGAGTATTGTACGTATTATATAACGAGGAGACTGCACCTCTCCGTTTCTCAAAATCTACTACTTACGCTTGTTTTATTTATGAAAATTAAGCAGTTGTTTCGAGACTGACTGGTTTCAACGCCGAGTAAAAATCGCGACTATTCTCATGACGTAAACAGGAATTAAAAAGTTTCCATCCTCTCATTCAGCGCGGAATTCTCCTGCAATTCAACGCGACTTAAATTGTTTCAGGGATTCCTCGTTTTTACATTGTCTCAGTTTTTGTTTGTTTCTTCCTCATTCGTTTCCCCTATTGTTCCAGCGTGCTTCCTTGAGCAGATAAGCAATTAATAACAATGGTGCTGCGACGATAATTAAAAAGTCGTGCCGCCCCGGCGAAACACACCTTTCCTATCAATACTTCTATCGCGATATTGAATCGACAAAGCAATCTGTCTGTATGGAAATATAATTCCTTTGAAACGAATATCCTATATACAGTGGTTCGTTTTAATTATTAAAATGGAATATTATTTTTCATCCCACTGGCTAATATACCTTCCAAAAAATATTTTTTATTAATAATTAAAAACTGAGGCTTCTATATCCCATCCTGTAAAATATTTTTAATTAAATATCTGGAATCTCCGACGTTGACAGAATTTTGCAAGGAGCTTTTGTTAAATAATACACGTATTTTTAGGTTATTTATAATTTCCTAATGTACACATATCACGTACGATTTCCTCGGAAAATTGCAAAATAATTTCAGAGATAGAATGGACAGGAGGAATTCCTTTTGTAACCTCATATTTTTGCAGCAGTTTTATCTTTCGAAAGAAGAAGGATGACAACTCAGATTCTACTTTGTAACCATAGCGGTACATCGAAGAAACTATTGGGTATTGCGGACGAAGGAAGTATTCTTCACTTCCGCCGGAGCTCAGCATTTCTCTTCTTCCTTGTAGTAACTCTTTATACTGCACTTACTTCTGTGGTACAGGGAGGTCTCGCTTCGAAAACTTAAAAGCACGAAGCTTTGTAAAGGAATCTTCTGCTTTTTTGCCTGACCTCTTCTTCGTAAGCTTGCGGATCTGCATGATAAATTAGATACCGCATTGTTATGGGAGGGTTCTTTCTTTCTAACTTTTCATCCTATTTTAGACTGCACTACGGCCAGCTATATTACTCCCTTTTGCGAGCAAATCCATAGATTTGTCGCGATGCTTTCAAAATATTATTTTAGCGTCGAAATGTTTCCATCGACAGAATTTATCGCTGAAATCCAGCGTATGGTATAAAATTGTGCAATAATCGCAAACCAAAGATACAGTATATCGATACGTGTATTCCTTTCTGTAAAATATATAGAAAGACTCTCTTATTCGTTCTTAGATCATGCATTATAAATATACAAAATTACATTCGTCAAGTTTCTCGATAATTATTTCTGTACACCTTTGTAAACGTAAAAAAAAGATCACGCTTTTGTTAAACCTTTTCCTCGATATTTCTCACCGTCCTGGGGTTGTTCCACGAGAAAGATAAATCTTCATTTTTGTTAAGGTTTGAATTTACCCCCTCGACCCGCATTACACCAGCAACGAAAAATGGTTTCGTATTACGGACGACTTACTCCATCTTGCGCGCAATGATTCAACATTTTTTGGGCTCGCTCGTGAATTTAAATTGTTTCGAAATCTTCCCTGGACGAACAATGTTTCGTTACGAAGCGTTCAAGGAACAAGCGACAGAGCGTGTAGGTCGATCATCAGCATTCATCGAACACCATTCCGTCGAATCGATCCCTTCGATTATTCAGAATTCAAAGGCCAAGGCTCGTTTTTATAATAAATTTACCTTCGATACACGGCGCCGAAGGGTCGCGATATTCATATTTATTTATGAGGAATGCACGAGGGCCTATTGATTTTTCGACGTTAACGCTGTCGGCTCGTTATCCGAACGCCACCCTTTCACCCTTTCATGCCGCTCCACGGGCGAACAAAGCCAGCCTAGGCGCTGCCGGCAGAAGTCCAAAACGGTGATGATCGTTTCATACCGCGGTACACGGTTCAAATACGAAATTAGTCGACGCGGATTGCACCGGGGATCGTTACAACGCGACCAGAGAGAGAGAAAAAAAAATCGCGTTTCGCGCGGACACGGTACGTAATCTTGGACGTACCGGCGCGACCTGTTGAGTGACACGATATTAAAAGCTGTCGTGATAGAAGGTGGGATTGAAAGGACGAAATTGCTACACGTTTTTGTTTAATTCCGAACGCGCGGAAATTGCCTCGTTTCTATGGCCCCTTGAATACAAATCCCAAATTACACCGTTCTACGGTGCTATTAAAATTAAGAATTATGGAGGATATATTTTCAATTATCATCAAAAATAAATATATATTATTCTCTAAAAATGAATTCTTTATTATCTGAGTCCTATTTATTTCCCTAATGCCCACTTTTAATGGTTTGTACAATAATATGTAGCTTCATCTAAGTTATAGTTTGAATTCTATATTTGAGCAAGTAGCAAGAAAAGAAGATGCATTGAAAAATTTTTAAATGCTGCAATATTGAGTTTTATGCTATACAGACAACTAAATTGCACCTGAAGCAACATGTTGTTTATGTAATATATTGTTACGTTCTACCTGTTTGTCAGATATAAAAATCAAGGATCGTGAAATGGGTGATGTTCCTAGCAAGGCTGTGAAGTAACACTTCTGGTATCGAGGGAGGGTTTTTTAAGTTATTTTATGATATTTTCTGCACGGGTAGCAGAAGCCTTTCGCGTTAATTAGTTCTATGAAACTCAATGAACATGTTATTTTTATCGTGTAGTGATCGATACTTTTTCTATATTTACTTCCAGATATTTCTACACCGCCCTGCACTTACGTCAGGTACAGCAGCTTGGAAGACATCAGGCCCCAGGAGTTAGGCTTCCCTGTGCTGGAATTCACGCCCGCCGTGGTCTCGAAAATAAGGTAAGAGTTAATCGTTTCTAGATTTATGAAACTCCGCAATTTGATGAGTTTCAGATTTGTGTCAAAGTAACGATACGAGTAGAGATCGTGCAATCAATGTCTGTAAATCTAGCGTTAATTAAGTTTAATATTAACCCTCTTTGCTACTTCGACGCATTTTTATTGGCATTAAATCAACCTGTTCTCCTGTGTGGCTCTATATATACACACTCTTTGAATAAGTGCTCTCAGAGCGCGCGTGGCAGAAAACTTCTCGCAGGGGAGACCTCTTTGTCGATAAAAATTGTTGGGAAATAATTATAATGGCAATAATTCTGAATAATACGATGTATCAAGTGTAATGAAATACTTTATAATGCAAGGACGGTAGAATCAGTGCTTTTAATTGTATATTCCATAGAATTCGGGGCACGAAAATCTGCAGAACGCGAAGGAAATAGTTGAGAATAGCTACGACTTGCAAGAATGGTCTGAACTTCGAGTTTAATTATGGAAACAATTCATTATCATTTTGAATTATTACGTTTCTAAAGGAGAACGTTGTATCGGAGAAGCTGTCTACGAAGACCACGGCCAGGAAGCGCACAGATCAGATGAATGTAATTAAATGTAATTTAAAAGAGAATGCTCGGAGCACGAGACATTTAATTAGAAACTACGTGGATGAATTCAAGATCAGCGAGGCGAAGGTGGAATTTCGGCGAAACAGTGTTCATCTTATTGAGTTTTTCCTTTTTTCCCCTTTTTTCGCGGAGTTCCGTTAACCGTGCAATTACTTAGACTACGAATAAATTATAGAACATCTCCATGAATAGCGTTTAATTAAATAGCAGCCGAAGTTAGGAAATTAAAGTACCATAGTCTTGTTCTTTCTCGTATTTCTTTTCGACGAATTAAAAATATATGATATGAGCAAAGAATGTACTATCGATACGCGTATATAAAATTAACCAAATTTACGTAACGTGAATAATAAAATATGTACAGATGTCGCGTATATGGTTGATCTCTACTACTGGTCGATTAATATTCCATTAATGGACTTCCAAATGGAGCAGCCTATTTTTGTTTCACAATCACAGTCACATACGACTCGAAACGCGTATACCAGAGTATTATAAAATGCATTTCGACGTAATTTTGTTGCACGCTTTTAAAAAGGGACGTGTACCAACAGTGACAGTGCTTTTAATGGATTCTAAATGGATTATAATTAGTAGAAACGTTTCTCGTTCTCGTTGTTAAGTACATTTTCATTCAGTAAGAACTGTTTTAAAACGCGATTAAACAGACAAAAATCTTCGCACAGATTTATATACGTCATGCTTGGAATTGTCTTCCAACTCAATTCTAAATTATGTAAAAAGTATCTCGACAAAATGATAGATATATTTCTCGTATAAAGGGCAGTTATTCAAATATTCGCCCGTCTCTTCCACCATATTTTGAAAAAAAGAAACCAGACACATTATTACCTAAAATTTTAATCAATATTACGTTCGTTACGGATCAACGGACATTGTCAGATTCGCCAAAAATCCTGTAACCCACGGGGAAATCGGGGATGATAAAAATCAGAAACGCCGTGTTCCAGTGCGCGGCACTGTTGAAGCACGGACAGGAATTAAACGCGAGCAGCAGTTTAAGGCGATAATTAATTCGAAATCAGCAGCACGGCTCGCAGATTAACAGACAGCAGTCCCGCTTTTAGTTGTCTCGCTCCAGTTTGTCCGTTCCGCGCCAACCCCCCTTCTCCACCCGCGCCTCACGGTCATGTAGTTGCCACAGATAAACGCGAATACTTCATAAGCTCGTAATCCTGAAACAAAACGCCCGCCAAGAACAAAGGAACCGTCCCTCGCCCCACCCACGCACGGCAACCCTAGGTTTCCACTTTCCGGCTCGCGCCACCGCGACCAACCCTCTCAATCCGTTGGCAACAACCGCCGTGGAAGAGGGGTTGTCTTCCCCTTCTTCTGCCTACCTCTTTAAGTAAGTCTCGACCAAGTCGTTGAAGCACTAGGTTTATTAAAAGTCACTTCACGCTGGCACCGAAACCAGCTGCCAACTTTGTTCCGTCTTTTGTTTTGGCTTGTTAAATGGACCCGATGCGGCGGGTTAACGTTCCGCTGTGTCGGGGTTGAGAAGATGACTGTGATGCGTTGATTGTTCCCCCCCACGACGATACGACACGGATTCTGAAACAGTATTTGCCCCGTTTTCGATGTACAAAGTAGCGTAAACCGAAGACAAAGACTCGCGGTACAATGAGATTCATTTTTTGTGTCGACATGGCACGGAAATGAGTAACAACATTTTTCGATGCCTGGTATCGAAGGTAGAATATATGTTATTCGAATTTTGTTTGCAGTAAATGCTGAAAGTTCCGTGAGATATTCAGTGGAATACAATTTTGACCCTCGCGTCTGACCATTACTCGGTATTTCTACTTGTTTTTTATTCCCATGCGTTATTCTACATTTTCAATTTACTCTTTCACATTGATTCGCTTTTTTAAATAATATATACATCGCAGATTATAGAAACGTCACGTTGGAAAACATTTTATAGTAATCTTGAAGGGATCGCATTAGAAACCGTGTCGAAAAATTTCACGTTTTTATAAATGCAAAAATATTTATTTTCGAAACAGGTTCGGCGATTGTGCGAATTTCTGTCACTGTGATACTCTCGTCGAGGTATTTCTATGCGTCGCGCGACCATCCTCGGGGCACAGAAATTCCATTTCAACTGTTTCAACGGAACCCATTTAAAAAATTCCATAACTATTTCGAATTCTGTCCAATTTTGTCCAGTTTAACTTATACCATAGTACCGTACAGAGGTGACTAGGCACCTGCAAACTGAACAGCACAAAATTCCCACCAGGAAACCTCACTTTTAGCTTCTTAGAATTCGCGCTAATCCTTCAAAAAATATGAAATTTCCTTACTTGAATAAATATATATTTTTGTATAGGTTTGTTTGAGATTGTTACAGAATTCGTGTCAAGTATTTTTAAGTCAATTAAAATGTTAGCTTAAAAAACATCGAACTCGACGTCCAAATATGTGCAATATTCAATTACTTGATGCAGGCAGAAAAACAAACATCTCATGTTTCGAGTAATAATTCGGTTTTCATTTTCGAGATTGTTCTCTGTTGGTTTTGCTGGGTGAAAAATTCGCCAATGTTTATTTTGCACGTCTATGAAAAATACACAATGTTGCATCTTGATTATTTACTCAGATTGTATGACGAAAAGTTGTTGAAATTGTACGAAAAGGAATGACGTCAGCCAGCGAATAATTGAATAATATAGGGAGAAGTAGATTATATGTAGACTTTTGTAACTTTTCCACTAATTCATGCTTTGGAGTGATAAAACTGGACAAAAGTGGACTACCGGTTCCCTCGGAAGCTAGCTAGGTAGTAATTTTGATTCTAATCTTCAGGCGAAGTGTTGCGTGTATCGTCCAACAAGGGAAAAGAGTGAACTGCGAGAATAAACGAGATAAGGCAACAGGAAGTAAAATGGATGTTGAATATTAGTATATCAAAATTTTCTTGTTGTTGAATACTTTCCAAACAATTACGGAATTACGGGATTCGTTAAAGTCAAAAGTTTAAGTCATCTACGAGCTTTCAAACAGATACCTTTCTGTAGTGGAAAAGAAATTCATTTCTTCGCGTCTATGCATGGCATAGAATTCTGTGAGAATAATAAAATAAATTATTCTATGAGAAACGCCACGAGATCTTGCAAGATAGAGAAATCGGTGTCAACCTTTTAACGAACAAATTGCAGTTTTCTGCGACGTTTTTCACCCTGTATCGCCGATCAGAAAAACTCATCCAAATCGCTGTTATTACACCGCATTAAGGACTCGATTACCGTGACGGGTAGAGCCCCGGGTAAAGTGTTGGCAAGCCTCGGCGATGATACATCTTGTAATCTCTTTTCCTCGAGGAATAACGGAGTTCCACTCACACCCGCGGGCCATAATCTATTTCTCTGGCGCGTTTCTACGGCCCTATTCCCACCCTCCTGGCCCCTGTCGCCCCGCGCGTTGCCTCGTCGAGCTCACTTCCCGACTTCTTCGCCGCGCGGCAGCTTAACCACCGTCTTTATCCTCTCCTGGGAGGTTTATTCTTGCCAGGGTAGAACCGAGTAAATAGCGGCAGGCAAAACAGCGGCCGAGAAAGCGACGATGGTAACCGCGATATTTCTAACGCTCTTCCATCTTCTGAAAGGCTCCTCTTCCTCCAGCCACCCTTGAAACATCTCTGTTGCGTTCGCGCAACTTCGGTCTTGTTTGCAGAAAATTTCGAAACTCGACGGCGCAGAGAACTCGCGGCTCGACGCGTAATTTGGACGATTTTAATCTCCGTTTGAAAAATGCTATTATAATCTTTTAAACGTGTTAGAAACAATTTCTATTAAATAACGAAGTAAGAAAATAATTTCAGCCGGCTTCTGGACGGAAATACGGCTCTGCGAGTCGCGTCAGGGTGAAACGACACGCCAGAAAGTCGGCGAGGAAAATTGTATTATAGGATTACAGGATTCTCGTTTCTACGTATTTTGCCTTGTAATCCAAACAGCCGTTCTCGACTTCTTCTTTTCATCTTCGTGCCGGAAATCGAGAAGTTCCCCGGCTGGCACTTCCTTCGACGGCGCGAGGGATCAAGCACGATTTTCGGGCACAAAGATTGGAAATCGCGCTGACCGTTATTTCACCCCCTGAATGGAACCATCCCCTCTTGCGACCATTGTCCCGTCCCCCACGAAGTCTTTGGAAGAAGGTGTCCCGTCCTTTCTCCATTTTCCTTCTTTTTTTTTTCTTCTTACCTTCCGCGATGTTGGAAGTCTCCGGGTCGAACGAACACCGGATATTACCGGATCGAGCGAATCGAGGATACTTTTCTTCTTGGGCGTTATATTTCTTCGCGACCGCCTCGATGGAAATCTGAGCCGATTCAACGGCGCGAAAGCTCTC